CTATGTGAATTATTGCGAATTCATTCATAATCTGACAAAAGAAAAAATTCGAATTTTAATAATCATTAAATGAATTTCACCGAAGCCTTCACCTGTAACTTGAACTTCTATAATGCATAGCTTGTTCTACCTTTTGAAAGTCAGTGTTAAATTATTGGACAGATATCATATAATTGGTGAGGAAGGTGAAGAACAGATTTCCTCTATTATCTCTTACCTAAGTACATCTGGCACTCCATTTGCTAGGAAAAGAATCTTCATAATCCTGGTTTGTGTCTGCTATGTCTTTATCTGGATTATGTTTGTAGTTTTTGTAATTAAATTTTGAAATTGAACTTGAATATTGGCTCAATCACAGGACTTTAACTAATTGCCGCACTGAAAACAAAATTAAAAGCTTATGGGCAAGCCACTCATAAATGCTGAAGGAAATCTATAGGATATTGTGACCCAGACACAAGAGGAGTTTTTGGCTGTATGGTATGTCAGCTCTAGGCAGGCTGAGCGGTTCTCTGATTGTAGCTTCAGAGAGATTCCTCTTTTTTTTTTTTTTTTTTTTTGAACAGTCTTCCTCTTTGTGGCCCGGTGCTGGTAAGTTGGCAGTGGCACCCCACTCTTGGCTTCGTACTGGCAATCTTTCAGTTTTCGGTTCTCATTTGTGGTTTCAAGTTGGATTCGTCTTGCCTCATGGCTGCCTCCCATGGATGGGATGCGGGGATTAGCAGGTTGCACGCATGTCTACTCTACGCCCCAGTGATCATATTTTTTATTTTTTTAGTACAGACTGGTTTCACCGTGTTGGCCATGGGCTGTTCTCATCACTCTGACCTTCAGGGATCTGCGGTTGTCTATTGGTTCCCAATGGAAGTTGCGTGGGGTTATTACAGGTGAGAGCCACCGCACCCAGCCACAGTTTCTATAGTACTGGAGGATTGTTCATATCAGTTTTCCTAAAAATAAAAGAGGGAATGAAGGTAAGCAGAGAAAAAAAATGCAAATAATTAGACGAAACCATTGAAAAGAGATATACCAGAGCCAGATTGTTTTAACAAAAACTATTCAGAGTAATAATAGCTAACATTTACTGATTACTTACTATATTTATGTGTCAGGTGTTATGCTTACATGATTATCTCATCTCATCCTGATGATAAAGCTATGAGGTAGGTTTTTTTTTTTTAATATCTGTTTCTCAGATGAGGAAACTGAGGCACAGAAAAGACCTTCAACTTCTTCAAAGTTATAGTTAACAAGAGTTACGGCCTTGATTCAAGTTCAGCTGATCCAGTCCTGATTCCAGAATGTATATACTTTATCCCTATTGTAATAAAATTTCAAATCACTATGCATGTAAAATCATAACCTTCAGAGGATATGGTTGTAGATACATTTGAATCAGCTTTTAATAAGAATTCATACGTGAAATATTTATCAGAGTCAAATCTCAAAACTTCATTTGGTACCAAAGAACCATGCCTATTGTCATCTGGTGTTGTAGAATGGAACTTCAATCATAGTGATATTTAGAGAGTTCATAAACATGTATGTTTAAAGAAGAAATTTTTTTCTCTTATCAGTGTCACCTAGAACCTTATGAGAAATGACAATTCCTTTCTTTCTTTCTGATGTAGAACAAGTGACCCAACTTGCAAATTAATTTAATTCAATTCTTTTTTTCTTTCTTTCTTTCTTTCTTTTTTTTATTATTATTATACTTTAAGTTCTAGGGTACATGTGCATAACGTGCAGGTTTGTTACATATGCACCCATCAACTCGTCAGCACCCATCAACTCGTCATTTACATCAGGTATAACTCCCAATGCAATCCCTCCCCCCTCCCACCTCCCCCATCCCCATGATAGGCCCCGGTGTGTGATGTTCCCCTTCCTGAGTCCAAGTGATCTCATTGTTCAGTTCCCACCTATGAATGAGAACATGCGGTGTTTGGTTTTCTGTTCTTGTGATAGTTTGCTAAGAATGATGGTTTCCAGCTGCATCCATGTCCCTACAAAGGACACAAACTCATCCTTTTTTATGGCTGCATAGTATTCCATGGTGTATATGTGCCACATTTTCTTAATCCAGTCTGTCACTGATGGACATTTGGGTTGATTCCAAGTCTTTGCTATTGTGAATAGTGCCGCAATAAACATACGTGTGCATGTGTCTTTATAGCAGCATGATTTATAATCCTTTGGGTATATACCCAGTAATGGGATGGCTGGGTCATATGGTACATCTAGTTCTAGATCCTTGAGGAATCGCCATACTGTTTTCCATAATGGTCGAACTAGTTTACAATCCCACCAACAGTGTAAAAGTGTTCCTATTTCTCCACATCCTCTCCAGCACCTGTTGTTTCCTGACTTTTTAATGATCGCCATTCTAACTGGTGTGAGATGGTATCTGATTGTGGTTTTGATTTGCATTTCTCTGATGGCCAGTGATGATGAGCATTTTTTCATGTATCTGTTGGCTGTATGAATGTCTTCTTTTGAGAAATGTCTGTTCATATCCTTTGCCCACTTATTGATGGGATTGTTTGTTTTTTTCTTGTAAATTTGTTTGAGTTCTTTGTAGGTTCTGGATATTAGCCCTTTGTCAGATGAGTAGATTGCAAAAACTTTCTCCCATTCTGTAGGTTGCCTGTTCACTCTGATGGTAATTTCTTTTGCTGTGCAGAAGCTCTTTAGTTTAATTAGATCCCATTTGTCAATTTTGGCTTTTGCTGCCGTTGCTTTTGGTGTTTTAGACATGAAGTCTTTGCCCATGCCTATGTCCTGAATGGTATTACCTAGGTTTTCCTCTAGGGTTTTTATGGTATTAGGTCTAACATTTAAGTCTCTAATCCATCTTGAATTAATTTTCGTATAAGGAGTAAGGAAAGGATCCAGTTTCAGCTTTCTACTTATGGCTAGCCAATTCTTTTTAACATCAATTATCAAGCCCCTTTCAGGAAAAAAAGCACTTATGGTTTTCCTTCCTCTCAAAAATAAAGAACTCAAGTTTGCATTATTTCTATGAAATAAGTATAATTTACATGCAGAAGTCAGTAGGCTAGTAAGAAACTAAGGTTGATAAACACACTAGAAGATACGTTCCCTTACTCTCAAGTTGCTTGCAAATTAGTATTGATTACTACTCAAAAGAAAGCACTGTCTCTCTTTTCAAAAGCATATGGGTCTTGTGTAAGGATATGGGTCTCTGCTCTCTGCAAGTGACTTTATTATGGATAGAAGTTGTCTAGAGAGGACTTCACAAGACTGTCAAACTAATCCTTCCTTAGCAGGTAGCTGATAAGAATATATGACCAAGACCACTGTTCTTGTCATTTACATTGGGATTACTAAAAGTCGATGCCTTCAGGATGAAAAAAGAGGTGATAGAAATGGTGGCCTGACAGATCAGAGGAGCTGGCATGTTGGAAGAGTGTCCTCACACATGGAAAGCCCCCATGCTACCTGCTGCTCAGGTGGACTCTGCAACTGGGAAGTTCCAAGAGCAATGAGAGTCAAAAGAAAGACTGAACAGAACATTTTACTCTTTCTCAATAAAATAACTCTTCATCATCCACAAACCTTCCCCTAGCAAAAAATTTTCTTCCCTGTGCTGCCAACTCCTGTTGTCTGACACAATACACAATTTAATCTAATGGAATCACATGAAGTTAAGAGCGTGAGCTTTCACACCTAGGATTTGGCCCCTATCCTCTCGTTACTAGCTATGTCATCTTGGGCAAGTTACTTAAGGTTTTCAGCATCAGTTTCTACATCTATAAAACAGGTGCTCATAATGTTTATCTAGCAGGTCTTTTGGGAAGTTTGCATGAAATGACATATATAAGACATGTGCTCATATGATGGGTAAGCAATCAAAACTAGTCATTGTTATAAAAGCATGGGCTATGTTCACAAAGCCCTATTGTCACTGTTCACTTTATGGTGAATAGCCATTTCCACTGTATTGCAGTTTGTGGGGAGGAGGCCCAGTGGGAGGAAGAATGGGGAGATATTTTTGTTTACTCAGATAGATTGTAAGTCCCTGATCCTTGATACTAACTACATCCAAGAAAGAATATCATATCTGACATTAAGGGCCTAACCTAAGTGGTGGAGACTATACACATGGTGCTGTATTAGAAAGTAGAATGTGCTCACGGTTATACCAGACTCACAAAGCACTTTGGGATCACCAAAGAGGGGAAAGCTAATTTTGACCAGGAGTTGAGGATGCCATCATGGAAGCCTGCATATTTGACCTGTGTCTTAAACAAGGGATTGAATACAAATTAGAAATAAGAAGGAAATAGACACCTCAAACTTTCAAAAGCAAAACAGTCACAACTTGGGATGCATAGGATATGGAGAGTAACTAGGAAAAAGAAGAGTGAAAGATAACCAGAATTTAGAAGCCCAGAAAACTGGAAGGACAGTGCTGACTGAAGTTCAGCAGGATGTCACAGAGAAGGGGTGAAATCAGTAGAAGATGATAAACTCAGGTTGAGTTTGAGGTGGAGGAAGAACATCCAGATGAGGATATATCCCGGTGAAGTATAACTTACAACTCAAGGAAGAGATGCAGATTCCAGAGTCATTTTCATGGATGTGATCATTTAAACTTAAGCAATCATTTTAGGGGAGAGAATAAATCAATAATTTAATGGCAACTAGTATAGAACAGTAAGAAGCAGCTATGCTTTGGGGACTCATAGACACACAGTTTTGTTTGTTTGTTTTTTGTTTTATGTTTTTTGTTTTTTTGAGATGGAGTTTTGCTCTTATTGCCCAGGATAGGGTGCAGTGGTGCAATCTTGGCTCACTGCAACCTCTGCCTTCCAGTTTCAAGCGATCCTCCTGCCTCAGCCTCCCAAGTAGCTGGGATTACAGGTGCCCGCCATCACGCCTAGCTATTTTTTTTGTATTTTTAGTAGAGACAGGGTTTCACTATCTTAGTCAGGCTGGTCTCAAACTGCTGACCTCGTGATCTACCTGCCTTGGCCTCCCAAAGTGCTGGGATTGCAGGCGTGAGCCACCGCGCCTGGCCAACATATAGTTTTAAAGGAAACTTTGTGCAACTGGGAAGGAAACCAGGTGAATGCAGAATCACAGATGCCAAAGGAAGAGCAAATTCTATAGTGGCAACAGTGATTGGGAATGTCAGGCCCTAAAGAGAACCTGAGTAGCATGAAGCATGAGGGACTGTGTATGCCACATGGTGACTGCATAGAAAGCTGTTTCAGGGCTACCAAGGAGCAGAACCATTGAGAAGGTAAAGTAGGAGAGAGATGCATAGAATCGTAGCTTGAGGGACAAGGGAAGGTGTTTTATTAGGATAATAGAAGCCTAAATACGTTTGCAGGTTGGAGGCAAGGAGCCAGTAAAACGGATTAAAACTGAAGAATTAACAAGGATTAATTAATCAATCAAGACCTCCAGAGCACTGGTTGTCAACCCTTTCTTGACATAAAACTCACCTAGGACCCTTATTATAATACTAACCCCTGCTCTTGATTCTGATCAGGATTATTGACTAGTTTTCCCAGGTGATTCAAATCTGTATCTAGGTATGAGAGTCACTGACGTAGAAGAACTGGACATTGGATTAAGACCACTATAGATGGTTATTTTGCAATGACAAAGGCTCTCTTTTTCCTCTGAGATGAGGGTAGTATAGTACTGGGGTGGAGGAGTAAGAAAAGGATGAATTAATAGCAGAAACATTTAGAAAGACTTTGAAAGAACTCTTGATGAATGGCTTCAAACCGAGAAAGCAGAAGGTGAGATGCTTACATTAAGGGTGCAAAAGTAAGATTGGGCCATGAAAGAAATTTAAAGCATTCCAAATAACTATTAAGATTTCCACAGAGATAAACAAACTGTCCAATTACTGCTTTATTCTCTCTACCCTTATTAGTTGGCCATGCCTTTATAAAGAAAGGGCATTACTGTGTTTCCTGTTACTCTTATGAAAAAGTGAAAAAGAAATATTATAATTGGGGAAGAGCTAGAACAATAGTAACGTTAATATAGCCTTAGTGAAGACTTTAAATAAGGGGATCAACAATAAGGAAATCTAAGCAGTGCATTGAGATCTCTGTGAAATCACTGAGAATTCATCCTTGATGGGATCTTGGAGATTATCTCACCCACCTCCTCCCATTTAAATTATGAGTAAACTAGGATTCAGGGAGATTCTGTGATTTGACCATCATCAAACAGCAAGTTAGCAACACCAAGAGACGCTGAAATGAAGCCTTGGAGCCCCACACCAGTGCCTTCAGCTCCTGCACACACTTGGCCTCCTGACCTCTGTCATGAGGTTCCTGGTTAGAAATGGCTGTCGTTCTTTTGGGAGGATTAATAAGAAAATCTGTATGTTGCTTTTAGCCCTTCACAAGAGAGAGAAAAAAAAATATGTTCGATTTCTTCTTTATTGCTGTTATTACGTGAACCAGATTGAATTGCTGCATCTCTGAAGAGTTTCTTATGACTAGTGTGAAGTGTCCCATTTTAACCCACGTCAATTTTAAATTGCCCATAGAATACACAGATAACTGACTGTAATAATTCAGTTGCCACACTCAATACATTGTTTGAAATCCAATGAAAGGCAAAAGGAAAACTTCCAGTCCTACAGAATCAGCAGGATAGATCCTGCAAGCTGTAACAGGACTTATTTGAATTAATTAAAAAGGAGCTGGGTGTGTAGTAACAAGATCAGTGGGTCTCCTCTGCGTGGCTACAATACAAGGGTAGGAACTGCAATCCTCTGGGCCTGGGGTTTTTTAAATCTGTAAAACAAGATGAATAAGCTAGAACACTTCTTCCAGAATTAAGTCTCTCTCATTTTTGTCTGTATTTTAATTTTTTCATCCCTCCACCAATATTTCTAAAATAGTTAAAATCAAACTATGAAGACTATTTCAAGGATCATAGTTGCAGGTTTTTTAAATTACAAATAAATTTATGGCTCAATTTCAGGTTCCTTATCTGTAAAATAGAGGAGCATTGGTGTAAATACTCTAAACTCAGCTCTGTGCTTCAGTGGGCTTTTCACTACCTTTAGTTAGTTGCACTAGGCTGGTTGCTATTTACTTTGCATGGTTGACTGCTCTCTTCCCACATTGTGTGCCAGGAAGGGCACTGCACCTTGGTACAAACACTGCTGGGCACCTTTCTGTTTTCCTTCTTTGCTTCATCCTATACAAGTATGCAGTACACTCTTGGGTTGTTTCATGAGCCCTGGGGGCACGTTGGAAGGAACTGAGAGAAAGAGCAACAAAGCGGCGAGTGGTGTGACAGGGCAGCATGCACTGTGGGTAAGCTGGACTCACCAAAGAACTGTGTTTATTTTGCATTCATCTCCATGAATTAATAAAAAGAACTGGTGACACACAAAGAGAGGAGAGGCTACGATTTAAAAGAGCTGTATTGGTTTAGATGTTTTGTAAAATGATTACGTTATGGAAAAGTGTAGAAAATGTGATATTTCCTGGCTTTGGAACTATCTGTATGACTATAAAGTCAGGAGTGGAGGCACATAAGGACTTGTGGGAATGGTTTCTTTCACAGGAGAGTGATTTTTCTTTTCTTAGTTGGATTTATGGTTATTCTTGATTCGAATGCATATTTTCTCATATTTTAAAAGATTGCATGATGTTAATTCACAAGTCTCAGATTTCAACTCTAATATAATACATCAGAATCATGACTTTTCTCAGCCTTTCAAATTCTCAATTATTTTACTATCAGAATTTTCTTGTATTTGAACAATTTTTTAGAAGAAGCTCTGCCTAGACATGCAAACTGAGTTGGAAAATGGATATAAGCATCTAGATGACTCTAGAAAAAAAAATCTTAATTGTTTTAGGCAACAAGTGTCTAGTCTTCACTGGTGTTAATTATCCAAATATGTATTTTATATCACTAATTAACTTTTCACACATATAAATTGTCTTACAAAAACATTTAACAACACTATTATTTTCCAGGACTCGTTTTTCCTCTGCATACTAGATCACAGTATTTTTAGTGATGAGAAAATGTATACAAATTCAAACTGACAGCAATTCATGAATCTCTAATATTCCAATATGCTCTGGTATATGTTGTCTACTTTGCAAAAATGATTATTAATAGCCTGACTGCAAAATTGTTTAAGAAACATTTCATTTTAAATTAGCCATAATTAATTTTTTCAGACTGTATAGATGCATGAAGTTCATTTTCCTTGCCCATATTTAGTTTTTCCTATTTAACAAAAATTATATATAATATATATAAAATATATATTAAAACAATGTATGTATATTTATATATTCCTTTATGTGTATGCAATATATTTATTATATATATTATACATATCCCTTTTATTAAACAGGGAAAATGAGTATATAAATTACTAATATATATAAATTACTTTATATATATATATAAAAAATTAAGAACTACAAGAAAAAAATTGGCAAGTAATTAGTCATTTCATTTGATTATTTTAGATCACCAAACAGAATACTTCAAGTTTTCCAAGCTACTTTGTACTGTTTGGTTCAAATGTTTCCTCTGAGAGGCTAATTTATTAACAACAGCAGAGTGAGTTAGAGATAAGAAAGGGTGAGAACCCAAGTAATTGACATCCAATCAGGAGGCCTTTGTCTGAGAACCTGAGGTGACTAATAAAAACTGACAATCAAAGGGAGGGAGACTTCTATCTGGAGAGTATTTCTCATGAAAACAAATAATGCACAATTAAATTAAATATATCACCCCACTGAAGCAAATGCTATTCCCAACTTTATCCTTAGAATTCTTTTTCCAAGCTTGAAATTGTTGTATGGGCAAATATTCTCCACTGAACCACACAAGCACAACTAAATCAATCAACCAGTAGTCAATCAATGAAATCTATCTAAAGCCAAAGTTTTCTTCTCCTAAATGTAGCGAGATAATTGACTTTGCTCTACACTGTGCTTTGAAGATAGAGAGTTCACTGACATAAGGTAATAAAGAATTTAAACATTAGCTAACCCTTTTGAGCACTACGTGTCAGGGATGTGCTAAATGATTTCTGTCTCGTTTTTTATCAGAATTTTTGAATTAACTATATGAAGTTAGTGCATTTTTGTCCCCAAATGTGGACACTAAGTCTTGACTACAGTTGCTTGCCCAAGATAACACAGCTGCTAAACAACAGAACCAAGATGCAAACCCAGGGCGACCTGATTACCACATTATACCATCTCCTTAGGCACAGCACTGTTTTGCTTCAGATGTTTCTGGACACTCAGAAGCACAGAGCAGAGTATCAGTTATCTGAGGCTAAAAGGCATGCCATATGTTGCCTCTGCATCCAAAAAAGTGCCAATGATAATGCCACACTCAGAGTCTTGTTTGAAAAATATCTATTGAATTGTATTCACAAATGAAAACTCTTTTCGCTAATGATGTATCATCTCACTCTGCTAAGAAATCAAGTATGGTTTCATAAAATTTTAGTCATAAAGATAATGTTATTTGAACAGGAACAAGATGGCATTATGAATAATAGATTTCAATCTATTAAGCACAGAGCTACAGCAACAGTTTAACAGGATAATGCAAGGATTATTATAAAATTTTTAGAGATTACTACATGATCCCCTTTGCTATTAATAAAAACAAAACGATGCTGAGAAATAGGCCATTTTGTGTACTTGCTTTTACATGAAACCTGTATGGAGTTGTGCAACTAGACTAGGGTTAGGACAGCCGAGTTCTGGTCTTGGTTCTGAAACTAAATGGCTCTATGACTCTCAGCAAAAGACTGACCTTTTCAGGCCTAAATCTCCTCATGGTTAAATGTAGGGAAGGATCAGATGAGATAATTTATAAGGTCCTTCCAACTCTAAAATCCCATCATTCTGTAATAGTGCTACATTAGATTCCAATGTTAGCATAGTTGGAAATGCTCACTTCACAATTTTTTACCTTTTGCAAAATTCCCTGTATCAGGAGATTCAAAACATACTTTATGACAAAACTCAGAAGGGAAAGAAATACAGCAGCCTTTTAGCTATAATCTGGTATGCAGCAACTATAGTGTATGTGCAAGGTGAAGGAAGAGTGACAAAGTGAGACTAACAAAAGGAAAAACAAAACTGTCACCATTACAGGACACCAGACCAGCCAAGACATGATGAAAGACATGGCAAGATTCACACAGGGAATTAGAGCAATCTGAGCCATTTTCTAGAACTTTCTCATAACACAATATTAATTGGGTTTACTTAAAATTCAGTTATCCACTTTGGTGTACATAAAATAAAATCTAAAATATTATAATCAGGACTTACTGTACTTACAATTAGTGATAGTTCCTGTACAAATACAGTTTCTAGTAACATTGTATATAAAGCAATGCTATATATGTAGACCTGGAACCCTCAGTGCTGGGTTCTGTGCCTACCTTTCTATAATTAGCTGTGTTATCTTGATTAATGAATGTGACCTTTCTGACAGATACGTTGCTTAGCTCTAACACAACTGATCTTATACTGATAAAAAAAAAATATGTTTTGGTTATTGCAATCACTCACTGACTTCTATGAAGTAAGTCCTGGTAAGTGGAGGGTCTGTTGTTAGCTGAGGGGATGACAAATGTGACCACTATGTTTGGCACAGCTGGGCCAAGACTGCATAATAAAGGGAAAGAGATTGAGAAGCCCCAGAGAGAGGATTCTGGGAAGGGAATCAAAGTAGACTCTTTAATGTTGAATCATTCAAAATAGAAATCCGTGTCTTAAAATCCCCAAAACATAGAAATGAAAAGCCACAACAAGAAAACTGAGAAGACATCTGCAAAGTACTTTTAAAACATTGAGATTCTGGCCGGGTGTGGTGGCTCACGCCTGTAATCCCAGCACTTTGGGAGGCCAAGGCAGGCGGATCACGAGGTCAGGAGTTCAAGACCAGTTTGACCAACATGGTGAAACCCCATCTCTACTAAAAATACAAAAATTAGCCAGGTGTGGTGGCATGTGCCTGTCATCCCAGCCACTCAAGAGGCTGAGGCAGGAGAATCGCTTGAACCCGGGAGGCAGAGATTGCAGTGAGCTGAGGTCGTGCCACTGCACTCCAGGCTGGGTGACAGAGCAAGACTCCATCTCAAAAATATTGAGATTCTGATTACGGTGGGTACCATATGTCATAGAAGGACAATGATTAATATATAACAATAGTGACTAAAACAAACTGTGACTGAGACAAGAAATACAGTACCGATGTAAGTCTGAATATCATAGTACTGAGAACGGGACATTTAATCCGACTGGAAAAATTGAGAGGAAAAATCAGACCTACCTAACAATTGCATGTTGTTGCTTTGTATAAAGTAGAGTAGTTAGAAAGTAAACGGATGGGATTAGAGATTTATCAAACACCCACTTCTGGTGAGGCACAGTGCTAGGTGATGTGCATGCATTGCCTTATCTAATCCTCATATTAATCTTGAGAAAAAAGGTCATTTATTCCCATTTCTGCACAAGAAAATTAGAGCTCAGTTTTAAAAACTTGCCCACCTCTCATAAACTTGATGGATTATAAGTCAATACAAATGTTTTGGAGGGTAATTCATCCAAATCTATCAAAAAATTTAAGAAGCAAAATTATTACCTCAGCAATGAGAGTTTTAGCCATTTATTCCTCAGAAATACTTTTTCATGTGTGCAAAGATATTATGTGCAATTTTCCTCATTGCTGCATTATTTGTAATATTTAAAATTTTGGAGGCAACCTAACAGCTATTTGGTAAAACAACTCATGATACATCTATATTCTAGAATACTTTAAAGGAAATAAAAATATTAAAGTATAAGAAATTAAATTCATTTGGAAGAATATTTTAGTAAATTTCTTAGTATAAAGATCAAAATACAAAGATATAATAAGTAGCAAAATTAACTTTTTATTAATAAAGTATATATCCATCTGTATGGATATAGTGAACGATCTGGAACACTACATGCCAAGTGATTAACAGTAGTTACAGCTATAGAATGAGATGAAGAGCTAGAACAGAAGAGACCACATCCTACTTTCTGCTGTTCTGTATCATTTAAACTATCTCAAACAGAAAAGTACCATTCCATTAAAAAAGGTGGAAAGGCATAATGAACCCAAAGTCACACGAGCAGCCACCAGCATTTGGGACTTACAGTTCTTGCTTCAGTATTGACTTCTAAGTTTACATTTTGGGATTCCTCTTCTTCTGAAATGACATTACACTGTCTAGAGTGGAAAATGATGACGCACAGCAGAATTATGTGAGAGAATAGAAAAAAGT